GTACCGCACCCCTCCCTAACCTAACCATTTTGGATTTATAATATTATTCCATCTACTTGATGCATATGTTGATCTAATCAACGCAAAAATTCCCATTCATAGTCACATCGAAGCTTTCGCTGCACTTTCTCCAATAGTTTCTCCAATAGTCCTTATTCCAGCATTCCGCACAAACCGCTTTCCCGCACGCCAATTGTCGCGGATATTTGGAATCGTTTTCTGATTTCGAATCTGAAGGATAGATTTGATGATATCAAAAATAAAGAAAAAGCGTAATTGTTTCAATTTTTTTTGCAAAGCCAACAATTCAATGATTGAAAAATTTTCATTTCCAAGCTCATCTTTCAACGATTCATGAATAAGTACTTGGAAAGGTTTTTTTGCAAAATCAATTCGGAAGCAAGCTGTTAATGTACGTGTTAATGTCTGAGATAAGGCGGTGAGAGAATTGCTAAAGAAAATGTGAAACTTGAGTATTTAGAAAACTTGGATGAATTTAAGAAGCAGAATGAAAGTTTTGATGAAAAGAAAAGTTAAATCAAGTTTATCTGGAAAGCTTAAATGGAAGAAATAGAAATTTTCTTTGAAGAACATCTGATCGTGGCATTGTGAGCTTATCAGTAAATTTGTTGACCCATCAAAAACTGATCTCGATTTGGTAGACATTTTTCACCACTAAAGTGTTCGAATTTTACCCGGTTTCCATTTCCCAGCAATGTCTATCCTGCCACTCAATAAAAAGCCTTTTTTTCTTTTAAATAGCTTAATATCTCGTATTTTACTGATTTTCAACCTCTTCATCCTTTTTTGGTTGTTTTAGCTGTACGGGGTTATCCAGGATTACGGAGACTAGGGGTTTCTTTGATATTGCATGTTTTTGCTTACAACCTATACAAAGTTTTTTGGCTTTCTTTTTGTTTATTTTATTTATTTAACTATTCGCTTACTATTTTTTCTCAAAAAATGTCTCTCTTTACGATGGCCAAGAAGTCAGTGTACCGAGATGCGATCATCGACCTACACAAGCGTGGCGTTTTGGCGATGGATATCTCTAAGCGATTGATGATATGCAAACAACTTGTTTACAGCGCGATCATCAAACGCTTTCGAGAGTTAGGAACAAATTCTGAGCGACCGTTGTCACCAATATATCAAGAAATATCAGGCAAATATCAAGAAGTTTCGAGATCAGCTACGCTTAAAAGCCACTCGTTCACAGGCCAGGATGGCAAAAAAATATGGGAATTTCTCGAACTTCTATGGGCCGTATTGTCGATTGTGATTGAAAATACTGATTGAAAGGTTTTCAGGTCTGAATTCATAAGTTGAATACTAGTAATAGGGGAATGACTGTGCATTGGATCAATTTGAGAAATGCAAGAAAAATTAGCACTGACTTTGAAATGAATCGGTGTTAAGATGCGAAAATGAATTGCCCAAGGAATTTTTGCGGACAAGGAGAAATCAACAAAACTCAAATTTGAAGCGAATACAGTTTTTTTTACAAAGAATTATTCTGTATTGGATTGAGTTTTGAAAATTAGACCGAAAAACAGGAGGATTTGTTGGTTGTTTGGGTAAAAAATCGTGCCAAGTATTTATTTTAGTGAAACCAAAAATGATAAATATAAAAATAGAGTGAAAACAAAAACATTTTGTCAGTTTAAAGCAATCAGATTCCATTCGCTTTGTTCAACGACTCTTCAGGTGCTCCAAATTTCTCCTCCAATTCTTGACCCATTTTTGCGAATTTCTTCCGATACGAATCAACAATTGACTAAAATCGAGTCATTAAATGAAACGGTTAACATTTCATGATTTTGCCTTGATTCTGATTTCCTTTATTTTCGGGATTTGCTCGATCAATTCGGGGAGTTCACAAAGGAATTCTAAAAGAAAACATTTTACATGCGTTTTCCTTGAGAAATTGATCGTGAGGAATTTTCCTATTAAACTTTTCACACTGAATTATGTACGAATTTTCTCCTCTACCTCGTAGCCAATTATCTCTCGTTTCGATTAAAGCGACTCGATCAAAGTGATGATCGTTACAAATTGAACATTCGATCAAAAGCCATTCAGGAGAAGAAGCAGCTTTCCGATGCGGTAAATAACATTTTGTGCAAATTGGGTGTTCACAGCCCGGAATAACGGGTCTGCTTGCATCTCTCTCCATCGAGTCTTAATCTAATGTTTGGATTATTCTCCACTTTCTTACATTTAACACCACATTTCGAACATTTGAGTGGATTGGTGATTGGCTGAAGATTTTGCTGAATTTGGTCAATAGAAAATTGCTTTTAACCTCCGAAAGAAGCCATCCATTTCCATTGGGAGATTCGATAATTGATGGATCGTTTAAAAGATCTGAAACGATTCGAATGGGAATTCGACAACGGTAGACTATGTAATTATTACCGCGTAAAGACCTGGGGTATTGGAAAATAGTCAAATAACAATCCCATTCAAAGTCACATTGATGTTTTCTTTCTTCTTTTTTTCAATGGTTTCTCCTTTTTCCAACATTCTCCACAAATCGCTTTTCCACACAATAATTCATAGGGATATTTCGGCTCATTACTCGATTTCGAATCTGAAAACCATGATTTGATTGAAATACAAGAGAAAGTGATAATTAGTCCGACTGATTTCAGACTACAACTAATCATTTTCGGCAAAATTCAACAAGAAAGTTTTGAATCTTAAAAATCCCTTTTTCTTCTTATAATGGATAAAATTCACAAGGAGATTTGCAGAGAGAACAGTTCAATGAGTGGAAAATCTTCAGTCCCGAGCTCATCTTTCTAAAAATCGGCAAATAAAGTAAAGAAATCGATTCGAAAAGGGAAAATTAGTGAAAATGGAGTCAAATTGGGTGATAAGACCTGGTGGAAAAGGCTTGCGAAAGAAAATTCGGGAAAGAATTTTTACTTTGCAAGAATTATTATTTAAATTTCCAAAAAGAAAACCTTCTTTTTCTCTCCTATTTATTTTAAAATTTACATCGAATTTAAGGATCAAAGCGAGGTTATTCTCAATCGAACTCCTTTCATTCGTTCTATTAAAACCGATTGTCTGCTCTTGTCAATGTCAATACCTCAAAATCAAAGAGAATCAGCTTCATTTACTAACTGTACATCCGCACGCCGCCAATTGACCTAACCATTTTAGATTTATAATATTATTTCATCTACTTGATGCATAAGTTTATCTAATCTACGCATAAATTCCCATTCATAGTCACATTGATGTTCTCGCTGCACTTTCTCCAATATTTTCTCCTTTCCCCAGCATTCCGCCAATTGCCTCGAGTATTTGGAATCGTTCTCTGATTTTGAATCTGAAGAATCGAATTGATGGTATCAAAAATAAAGAAAAGGCGTAATTGTTTCAATTTTTTTTCAGCGAAACTATCGATCAGGATTGTAATAGAATAATGAAATGGTAAATCAAAAACTGTTTTCACAAAATTTCTGATCCTGATTTTGTTCACATTTTTCACCACTAAAGTAATCGATTTTTACCTGGCTTTATCTGATTTTCTCTCGTTTTCAAAGCATGCAATTGCACTTTTTGGCCACGGAATTTCTTTGCGAGCTTCTCGAAATGGAGAAGCCAATTTCGGCTTTGTCAGTGAAAATCCATCAAGGCAAAAATTGCCAAGAAAGCATTTGTCAATTGAACATCTTTTTCAACACATGTGGTTTTCAATCTCCCAACTGACCAATCTTGAACTGTGTTGAATGCAGTGTAATGTTTAGTCTTTTACTTTACATAAAATGTATACGTAACGTTTCAAAACTCTAGATTTCCGGGAGTTGTGGTCTCCGAAAACAGCGCATTCACACGCTCAATGATCTTCTCGTTGAGGAACAGGTTCTAGTTTGACAAAGTGTCATATCTGAGCATAGGATTGCAAAATTAGTTTATAGAAAAGTTAGAAGCATCAAAAACAGCTGTTTAGATTAAAACAATGACGGAGAAACCAGAAATTTCTTCTCTTCTGAACACAATTACTATCAGAATGAGTTCAAAAGTCAGTGTGAAACTGAGCTGCGACGAATGTTTTCGGGAATCAGTTCCCTTCAATTGCTCAATTGTAACCTGAAAAATTGTAACCTTTAGGAAATTGCGAACAAACTGAAATGACAGAAAACGATTCACGCAGCTTCACGAAAAGTTGGGCGACTCAAATGTGAAAGAAAAGGCAAAGACACTGGCAGGCAATGGACCAATGACTGTGCCTAATAATACATTAACTATGGTACCAATGGCACCATCATCTATCAGTGATCAGTGACGTTGCCAGTCAGTGTAACACCTAATGCCTCGCAAAGAGGATCACCACTGAGAAAGCCGAATGTAAAAAGTGGTAACACCACGAATGCCAGTGACATTACCAAGTGCCACACCAGTGATGACATCAGTCCCACCCACCTCATTTCCCGGAGAAACTGTGGAAAGACGGAATCAACGGGAACCCTGACCTCATTCCCGTGCTCGAAAAGATTCCTTCAAATCACGATTTATTATATTTCCCAGCAATGTCTTACCTGCTACGCAATAAAAAGGTCTTTTTTCTTTTAAAAAGCTTAAGATCTCATATTTTATTGATTTTCAACCTCTTCATCCAATTCTTTGGTTGTTTTAGCTGTACAGGGTCAGGGAGACTAGGGGTTTCTTTGATATTGCATATTTTTGCTTACAACCTATATATTGTTTTTGTCTTTCCTTTCGTTTATTTTACGAACATGGTCTGAACATTTTACGAACATGGACTAGATCTGTACAGTTCTTTAATCCCGGACAACCCTTTACAACTTGCTTTCATCTTGCGATCAAATATAGCAATTGAGCTAGCCTTTGTTCAAGTGATTTTTCAAGGATAAATTTATAACTGTACACAAAATCACGCAAATTTTACCGGTATAACAGTTAGAGCAAGAGATTTTGGAGGAATTTCAATGCTTCTTTGAGGTTTATTTGCAGAAATAGGCTTATTTTCTTCCGATTCCACCGTTTTGACCGTTGTTGGGAGATCCGCCTTGTTGGCCACCGAATCCACCTGAAATCTCAGCATTTCAAATAATATTCAGTTATTATATTGATTAGAATTTGTTTAAAACTGATTTTTAGCCATTTTTATAACAAACCTTGTCCTCCGAATCCACCATTTTGTCCATTTTGTCCGTTTTGTCCACCGAAGCCGCCTAAAATTTCAGAAATATAATTAGAATCGTTTTTGTATTCAAATTTAGAGGTTTATATGCAAACCTTGAATCCCTTTATTATTATCTACCTTGTCCTCCGAATCCATTCTGTCCATTTTGACCGTTTTGTCCGCCAAATTGTCCTTGTCCACCGAATCCACCTGAAACATTCATTTTATAGGATTCATTATCTACAGTAATCATTATTATCAATAGGATTGCTGTGTAGAAATTTTATTGAAATAAAAATACAGTATTCTAATCTATTGTGAAAGTTTTATCAAAAAAACGAACCCTGGCCTTGCCCACCGAATCCGTTTTGGCCATTTTGTCCGTTTTGGCCATTCTGTCCGTTTTGACCGTTTTGTCCGTTTTGCCCGCCGAATTGTCCTTGTCCACCGAATCCACCTGTAATATCGAAATTTATATGATATTTAGTTATAGTTTTAAATAACATATGCAATTTGAAGTAATTCTTAGGGTTTCCGATTAAACAAACCTTGTCCTTGTCCCCCGAATCCCCCGAATCCTCCAAATCCACCCTGTTGTCCTCCCTGTCCACCGAATCCACCTGAAATTGTTAAAAATGAATAAAAGATATCATATATATATGTAGATTTAACATTTTATGCACATTTCTTACTTGATAAGTGTATTAATATTTCTACCAACCTTGTCCTTGTCCTCCAAATCCACCCTGTCCTTGTCCATTTCCGTTTCCACCAAAACTTCCTGGAAAAAGACTACCATTTAAAGATAATTTGCTTTTATTTTTATTATATGAACTCAAAATCTATATAGTAATGAAATTTTATGCAATTTCCCTCACCCTGTCCAAATCCACCGTTGAATCCGCCCTCGAAACCATCATCTCCATCGTCTTGGCTACTGTTACTGTCTAGAAAAGATTAGATATATAAATTCATATGTAAATCTAGATTATATCTATCTATATGTTGACTAACCAGTTCCATTCCCTCTCGTGTGATTTCTGTGATGATGGCCGTGATGAGTGCCATTTCCGAAACCGTCCAATCCACTGTTTCGGTTCTGATCTTGGTTGTTGCTGTTGCCCCAAGGCCATTGGCTGAAATGTAGGTTGATACAAAATTTTTGGTTCTTCTTGAGTCATTAATCCTAACTCTATTGGATCGATTTTTCAACTCGAATTTTTTTTACTTGAAGGATCTGTTGGCACGCTGGGCTTGAAAATGAGCTCCTGGGCTAGAAAAAGCGACCGTAATCCAGCTGGTCTTTTCAATAAAACTTTCAATAAAACTTTCAATAATTGCTTACAATATTGTTGTGGCTATTCAGCTAAAGTTGTAGCTAAAGCTATTCAGCTTTACAATCATACCCATCCAATGAATATTCCAAAATTGAAACCCACAAAGCAGCAAGAACAGCGAAAAGAGCTGAGGCAATGAGCAGCGTCTTCATTTTCAGATTACTGTAGAAAAAGAATGAAATTTAGAAAGAAAAAACTAGTTTCTGGATGTCACTCTAGCAAGTGACCCCTTTAAATACAAAATTCCCCCTAAAAGTTGTTGATGTGGATGAGTGGACTGATCTCTATTTGCATATTTGTCCTTTTCAAGAGATTTGAATATTTTCCCGATTTTTTTTATGAATTCGTTATTTGGCAACAGCTACCCACACAGTGAGTCAGAAATTCTTCAATTTTTTTCCGATTTCCCAACTTTTCCCTTATATTTTATGATGTCGATGTCTGTCTGGGAAATCTGTTATTTTGAGGTCGAATTGAGAATTTTTCCGGATATTTTTGTTGAACTTTAAGTCCATTTTGACTGGGTTTTTAGTCACAAATTTGTTATTGTTTTTTCGGGGTTTTTTAAAAAAATTTAAACAAACTAGTAACTAAACAATTCAATAAAAATAAAAACATCAATATTTGTCACCCTGAGCCGTTCTTATCACCAAAGCATCCCTTAACTCTATTCCAACTTTTTCCACTTTTCAAGTCGATTTACACTTCAAACTCTCTGCATCACTTAGTCTTTGATGAAAGTCAATTTCTGAAAGATGAGTTCGGAACTGAAAGTTTTCCAATCATTGAACAGTTCACTATGCAAATCTCCGTGTGAGTTTTACCAAAAGAAACTCAATTTATAGTCAGCTGTGGATTTATAGTCCGTTCCCCAAATCTGTCAAAAAAGTCCAAAAATCCAAAAAGGGCCCGGAATTTGTTCCCAAAGACCCCCAGCGGAAAAGACGAACGATAAAAACTTTAAGTATCATTCTAAAGATCAAAGTGAATCTTTAGAAAAAGGTTGATTCTAAAAGAAGTTATAAAATAAAAAACCGAAGACGAGTTTATGAATCTATAAGATCAATACTTCTATTATAAAAGCCCACAGGACTACAAAGTCGAGTGTTTGAATGATTTAAAGACCCATTTTACATCAGCAAACATTCATTGGAACACATCACATAAACTATTAGACTAAGCAAAAAGTCTTTTCGTGGTTTTCAAAGTAGTTTTCGAAGTAGTTTAACGACACCAACTGTGCCCGACACATAAGCTTTACTGATCCTTTGCCATGCTCGATCTCCCGAATGTCGCTATTTCCGCCACTGCCAAGTGAGTCTTTCCACTTCAAAAAGATTGTTTATACAACAGACTTTACAAAATACATTCACTTACCACCATTTCCATTTGAGTTAGTTGTCTTTTTAGTTATTGTGCAGACAAGAACAGAATTCTTTGTCTCAAGCCATCCATCACATTTTGTTTTGCATCCCAACTCGCCTCTGCTTCTGCACTTGTTTTAAGGGTAACATCGGACTTGATTGGTGGATAGATAAACAAAACGATTGCCTCATTTTAATGCTTGCATTGACATTGGGTCTATGCGTTTTAAGCCAATGAAAAAACTCAATGTTCGAAATATTTGCAGAGTTTGAACATTGGCACTGAAATTTCTCTGGAAGCTTGCGATCAAAATTTTCAGCCAACGTGTCACCAAATACTACTTACCAAAAGATGATCATTTCTATGGAGTTTTCAAGAATGATTGAGACATTTTGAGAAAATTAACTCATCCAAACATCGTCGTTTTCTTGGGCTCTGAGATGAATCCTTATTTGAGCATTGTAATGAAATATTGTGAAAGGGGACGAATAGCTAAAAGTAGGTTTTTAAACTCAAGGCCGTTCGTTTTTCAAAGAAAAACCCGAAAGAGGCGGAGGCAAAAAATGACAACAATAACTACGACGAGATGCCAAAAATCTCCGAACTTTTATGAGGAAAAGCTTGTCGATTTCATAATGTTCATTGCTCTAAGATTCGTGAACACCGCGAACGAAATACCACCACAGCAACTCCTAAGAAAAAAAACATCAATGTGATGAATCGATTTGTTAAACTGAACTGAAACTGATAAACTGACTTCTTTGTATTAATTTTGCTACTGAAAAACACAAGGAAATTCAAGGGCGGGGAGATTGTCAAAGATGTGAAATTGAAATAGAGATAGATCTGCTTTTGCACGCAAAACTAACATTGTTTTTCTTTTTTCTTCTTCTTTCCTTTTTTTCTCTTACTGACAAGTTCGCAAGTTCTCTCTATTCCCAAAAATTTCTTGAGCAATTCATTTCCCCCTCTTATAACCAATCCATTTCAAAGCCAGTTTTCATTTTTCTTGCATTTCTCAAATTGTTTCAATTCACAGTCATCCTCCTGTTACTAGTATTCAACTTATGAATTCAGATCTGAAAACTTTTCAATCATTCACTTGTTTACTTTGCAGATCTCATTGTGCGTTTCAATATAAGTACCAAAATCTCCATCACAGTTAAATTTCCCGTTCCATTCAGGAATGGAGCTATAGAATTCGGGAACAGTTATCAGTGTTGGTCAGCTTTGATCAAGAGTCAGAGTCACTGATCAGAGTCATTTTATTTTGATCATTGGGCACTACCAAGTTTGACCAGTTTGAGTAAGATTTCTTTGCTGCTCTTTTCGCCTGTTAATACCAAAAACTACCATTCCTGCGTCTGCGTTTGTTTGCAATGAATCCTTTTGCCGAGAAGGAACAACGAGAATAAAAATATGTCAATAAATAATAAACAGAGCAGACAAGAACAGACAAAAATTCTGAGGCCAATCGGTTTTAATGGAACGAATGAATGGAGTTCGATTGAGAATAATCTCGATTGGATCCTTTAATTTGATGTAACTTTTAAGATAAATATGCGAGAAAAAGAAGATTATCCATTCCTGCGTCTGCGTTTGTTTGCAATGAGGGTTTTTGCCAAGAAGGAACAACGAGAATAAAAGTTCGATTGAGAATAATCTCGATTTAATCCTTTAATTCGATGTAACTTTTTAAATAAATATGTGAGATTAAATTTTTAACTTTTTAAATAAATTTTTTTTTTTTTTAAAAAAAGAAAACTATCTTTTTGGAAGTTTAAGTAAAGCATCAACTTTTTCCCAAATTTTTGAATTTTCTTTTGCAATCCATCTCCACCACGTCTTATCACCCAATTTGACTCCATTTTCACTCATTTTCCCTTTTCAAATCGATTTCTTTTCTTTATTTGTGGAATTTTAGAAAGATGAGCTCGGAACTGAAGATTTTCCACTCATTGAACTGTTCTTTTTGCGAATCTCCTTGTGAGTTTTATGAATTACAAAAAGAAAAAGGGATTTTTGAAAGATCCAAAACTTTCTTGTTGAATTTTGCTGAAAATGATTCGTTGTAGTCTGAAACTTGTCGTATTAATTATCACTTTCTCTTGTATTTGAGTCAAATCATCGTTTTCAGATTCAAAATCGATAAATGATCCCAAATTTCCATATCAATTAGAGTGTGGAAAAGCCATTTGTAAGGAATGTTGGGGAAAGGACAGATCATTGAAAAAAAAGGAAAGAAAACATCAATGTGACGTTCGATGGGATTGTTATCATACTTTCCAATCCTTCAGCTTCTTACGCGGTAATAATTACATAATCTCCCGTTGACAAATCCTCATTCGAATCATTTCAGGTCTTTTAAACGATCCATCAATTATCGAATCTCCGAATGGAAATGGATGGCTTCTTTCCGAGGTTAAAAAGCAATTTTTTTATTGACCAAATTCAGTGAAATCTTCAGCCAATCACCAATCGACTCAAATGTTCGAAATGCGATGTGAAATGTGAGAAAACGGAAATTAATCTAAAAATTATATTAAGGCTCGCTGGAGAAAGATGAAAGCAGACCCATTTTTCTGGATTGTGGACACGCAGTTTGCTCAAAATGTTATTTAACCCATCGGATAGCTGATTCTATTTTTGGATGGTTTTGGATGACATGTTCAATTTGTGACGTTTCTCGTAATTATTCAAAATCCGATTCCATCGAAAGGAGAGATAAATGGCTACGTGGTAAAGGAGGAAATTCGTACATAATTCAGTCTGAAAATTTCAATACCAAAATTACTCAGGATCAACTTCTCAAGGAAAACTCATGTAGAAAGTTTTCTTTTAGAATTCCTTTGTGAACTCCCCGAATTGATCGAGCAAATCCCGAAAGTAAAGGAAATCAGAATCAAGGTAAAATCATAAAATCATTTCATTTAATGACTCAATTTTAGTCAATTGTTGATCGATATCGGGAGAAATTGGCAAAAATGGATCAAGAATTGGAGGAGAAATTTCGAGCATTTGAAGAGTCGTTGAACAAAGCGAATGGAACAGTCTGATAGCTTTAAACTGAAAAAATGTTTTTGTTTTCATTCTTTTTACTAGTATTCAACTTATGAATTCAGATCTGAAAACTTTTCAATTATTTACTTGTTCACTTCGCAGTTCTCATCTTGAGTTTCAATCTAAGTACCAAAATCTCCATCAACTATGGTTTAGATCAAAAGTGTGTAAAGGTAAGTTTGTTTAAAAATTATGGAAACAAATGCATCAAAAATTATGAATAGCAGTTAACAAAACTTGATTGAAGGAGCAGTAAATCTTTGTCGAAAAGTAGAAAGCGTTGTGAGTATGTTCTTGCCGCATGTGGATAAATTTCGAGATCATCCGCGCGTTTAATCCTCTTACATAGCTGATTGAGGAGAAAATGAAGACATTCAAAACCTTCTTTGACATAGACCCTAGCGCTTTATGTGTTGATAGAAAAACGGGAATGTCTGCAATTGCTACGTGGGCTTTGACAGTTTTTAGTCCAATACTGTTTAGTTCCCTAGCTTAAATTTTAAAAAACCCCCGAAAAAACAATAACAAATTTGTGACTAAAAACTCAGTCAAAATGGACTTAAAGTTCAACAAAAATATCCAGAAAAATTCTCAATTCGACCTCAAAATAACAGATTTCCCAGGCAGACATCGACATCATAAAATATAAGGGAAAAGTTGGGAAATCGGAAAAAAAATTGAAGAATTTCTGACTCACTGTGTGGGCAGCTGTTGCCAAAAAACGAGT